CCATGATTCCTTTACGAAACCATTTCGTCGGGTTTATAATCGTTAGATCATCAGGTAACCGTCAGAGATAGTTGATCAAAAGGTTACAAACCCCGACAGAATAGTTCCGTAACGGGATCGTAGCATCTTTCTTCATTAGGTCTTTTATTAAGTTGTCTAATAATTAAGTAGTTACAAAACTGCTCCACTCAAATGCCATACATTAAGTTGCAATAGAAACAAAGTATAACATTTTTTTAGTGTAAATATTTTTTTAATGAAAAATATGATTATCTAACATATATGCAGCTTAATATCTACCTTTGTATCTATCATTATTATCATGCAAACAAACCTATAGTTTTCCTTAGTGCTATAATAATGTAATGTATCAAAACTCTCAATTCCAATATCGTATGCAATAATTTGATGAATATTTTTATCAAGCTTATTGTGTCAAAGTAGGCAAGTGGATAAGGTAAAACATATAATGTGAATTTACACCTATCCTACAAGATTTGTACAATATTGCATTCTTAGTTTTCAGCCAATTTTAATTGCATTCATACCAATATTGTGTCATTTAATTACATGTCTACCTAAGCCTAGTTTTTTTTTTTAAAAAAAAAAACAGCTCTTCCTAAATTCCGCCAATAATTGTAATTATATGTCTATCTAATGTTAATTTCCAAAAGGAAAACGCTCTCCTTAAATTCCGCCTCATAATCATTTCAGATAATGACAAAAAAAAGTGTGTTGTATATGGTAATTTACTTGACTGAAATATTTTGTTTCATTTTTTTTTTTTTTTGTACAAACTGCAGCTACAACGAACTATATGTTGCGTTTATAGTCAGTGAAATTTTTCAGCTCTCATATGTTTTGAATGGAAAATATATATTGCGTTTATAGTCAGTATATATTCAGTATATGTTGTGTTTTATTTACATAACATGTTTATACAGCCACAATTGTGATGTTTAATCTTTAGCTCAATATATAACCTGATACATTTTTTATTTACATAACATTTTTATCTAACCACAATTGTGGTGTTTAAATTTTTATCCATAAACCAATTTTTTTCACTATTTGTTTTCCATTCATGAACCAATTTCCATGAACACAATTGCGTTTATAGTCAATATGTATTCAATATATGTTGCGTTTTTTATTTGCATGGCATTTTTATCTAACCGCAGTTGTGATTTTGAATTTTTGTTCAGTATATAACATGTCATATACATATCATAAACTGATCAGAACCATTATTCTAATAAATTATTTTACTATATGTAGAATATATGTTACAAATACAAAGCTCAGTATCTTAAAAAACATATCAGTCAATTAAAAAAATGGGAAAAATTAGAGATTTAGTCCTTTAAGTGGCGTCGATTTGAGGTTTAGTCCTTTAACTGACCAACTTTTAGAAAAGGTCCTGTAAGTCTCAAAAAACCTGAGATTTAGTCCTATTACCGGCAAAAACAAGTCACTTTTACCGGCTTGCCTACGTGGAATTTTACACGATTTTTTTTTTTTTTTTTTGTTGCTGATTTAGCTGACTTGGCAAAATATGTAATATATTTACAAAAAAAATGTAGATAGTGAGGTTCAAACCCAGACCAAGGAGTATTCAAGTGGCCTTAAGAGCCACTTCACCTACCACAATTTATGTAAATTTTGTGACTTCACTTATATATATTTAAAGAACAGTTTATTATATATTTAATTACTAGGTTAATATATATATATTAAATATTTAGTTATTCTACTATTATATATATATATTAAATATATTATATAATATATTTATTTATTTAAATATTAATATATTTTTTAATATTTATATATATATGTTAAAATAAAAAAATTATTATTTAATATATTTATTTATTACGTTATTTGATATATTTATTTATTCAAATATTAAATATATATTAAATAACAAATATTAATTAATTAAATAAATATAAATTAATAAATATATTCAATAATATAATGTT